CAGTTAGTAGCCTTTTGTGCCTGTGTACGTGCCACTGATTAGACTAGCCATGGGCTTTCGTTTGTATGCTCCACCCTGGAAAGCAACTTTAGGAGAGGAACTAGGTGACAGTCTCTCACAGGAAGCGCCAGTTCTGCTCCTGATCTGCTCTTGCATGCCGTCTCCTTTCATGTGAGTCCCTCAGGAGGGAAGGGCTGTGGCTCATGAGGGCTTACTTGTGACACTGCCCTGTAACCCCAGGGTCACGGTTGCTGCAAGCCTAAGTTGCATCCTCCAAGCAGCTGATCATTTTATCCTACCTCGTGTCTGGTTGGTTTAAAGCTTTGATGAAGAAAAGGGATGCAGCTTACTGGGTCACCTCAAGCTTTCATGGCACATATAGTAGATTGCTGGACAAAGGACTGAAGAAGCCAGTGTGCCCAACACATCAGGAGGCTGTGACAGAAGAAGCAGAGTTTGAGGCTAGCCTGGACTTCAGAGCTAGACTCTGGGGAGGGGATGTAAAACCGTTAGGTGGCTCTGCTGTCTTTATCAAGTGAGGTGGTGACTTACACATGAGAGACTGCGGCAGTGAAGAGAAAGTGGGACAGTGAAGAGTGAAAGGGGTCACCTTGAGGAGAGATGGGGTATAAACCAATAAGGAACCCACCATTTGGAGTGCAACTCCTCCTTTCTGTCTGTGCTCAGTAACCAACTCCATCCTTTCCTCGGTGTCCATTGCGGACACTACTTCCGCCCTCTTTTGAGGTTCGGAACCTATTCGCTGTACTTGTTGCAAGGCTTTGAGCACCTTGGGCTTCATAGTGTGGACTTCACTTTCAGACCCATTTGATTGCCTCGGCTGTGGGCTATAAGCATAGGAGATTGTAGCCAAGGCACCTGTCGACACATTGGCAGGTGTTGGTAGAGCAGCCACTGGTGTAGAGGAGAAAGAGGCCAAGAACACTGCCCCTGGAGGAGAGAGCTCTTGGCAGAAAATGCAGCAAAGTGGTGTGACAGAGGACTGAGAATGTGTGGTCTCCCGGGAGGTGAAGGTGCGGGGTAAGTACATAAAGCATTGGAACCAGAGGGAGAAATTCCAGAAAGTATTGCAACTTCCGAGGCCTTGCTAGAATGTACATGGCTTATCTAGGAGAGCAGGGAGGATTGTGGATGGAGTGTGAGAGAGCGTGAGAGATGTTCACGAGAATTATCAAGGCCATGTGCGATTGTGAAAATAATGTCATGAATTTGAAAATTCTGATTTTTTGCAGATACATCCTGAAGTATTTATAGTTGAAGTGATGTAATGCCAGTGATCAGCTTTCAAACATTCTAGGGGGGAAAAATGAAATAAAAACCAAGAGTTGGAGAGAGGTAGAAGTGACGAAACATAACACTAGAAACTTGATGAAGGTGTGTGTGTTTGGGTAGTGTATACATATGTATGCATTTATGTTTGTGACTACACTTTCCTGTGTCTGTGTGTGGTGCATAAATATGTGTGCAAGTGTGTTTGTGGATGCACTTTCCTGTGTGTGTGTGGGGGGGTGTACGCATAATATGCATGTGTGTTTGTGGATGTACTCTCCTCCTCTGTGTGTGTGTGTGTGTGTGTGTGTGTGTGTGTGTAGACCAGAGATCAACAACATCACATGCCTCCTTCTGTCTCTCTTCACCTTGTTTTTTGAGACAGGCTTCTCACTGAATCTGGAGCTCACAGTTTGGGCTAGATTGGCTAGCCTGCAAGTCCTTCGCCCCCTACCTAGCTTTTTATACAGGTGCTTAGGATCCGAACTCAGGTCCTCATTTGCACTTTACTTGTGGAGCTATCTCCTCACACCGGTGGTATCTGAAACTGAATAGGGCTCCCTTTCTGTGTCTCGCGGGTGTTAGGAAGGCTCCCTGATGGCGTGTACTGAAGGGCAAGCTTGGGAGTGTGGACTACATAAGTGTGGCTTGGAATATGTGGAGGGTTTTGGCTTAGTTTGGAATACTGTGAGACAGCCAGGAAAGAGGCAGATTGAATCTGATGAAGGTGGAGTTCATGAAAAGGAACTAATGACCAAAGAGGAACTCTGGCGGTGGGAATGCAGAAGTGAATCGGCACCCTGCGGGGAACGTTCTCCCTTCCCCTTTAGCCAGCAGAGTCAGGTCCCTGCACCACTGCTGTGGGGTCCACCGGGAGGAGAGGGACAGGCTCTTCACCAAGGAGGAACTGAAGCAGCCGTGCGGTGCTGGGCAGTGAAGAGCAGAGGTGAGGTGGCTGGGGGCTCGCTAGCTTCTTAGTTTTATTAATGTAGAATTTCTGGGTGGTAGTTCATCGTGAAAGTTAGTGATTATGGTGATTTGTTTAGAGCATGTGTCTACATTTTTTCTTTTGTTTGCCTTTTTGCTCGGGAAATGGTGTAAATCTTATTAGTGATCCTATCTGAATCACTTATGTTCATTAAGATTGAAATTCTCTTGTGAAATTAAGCACTTTAAAATGTATGTGTAGATTAAATGAGTTAAAATGATGAGATCTAGGGGGAAACTCCAACTATGGCAAAATTATATATATATATATAATTACATATATATATATAATTATACACACACACATCTTTTTCTGATTTTTCAGTAGCAAAAATATTTAAAAATATACTTCAGATCCAATAGAAAGTAATAGTTGCCAGAAATGAGAGAGACATGGTAGTCCCCAGACCTCAATGATTAATGATGTTAATTCTAGAAGCACAAAATCAAAAAAAATACGACACAAGCTTTCCTGCTCTGGGAGAGGACTGGGCTCCCCAAGACGCTTCCTGGCCCCTCCCCGTCCTCAGGGCTCTTGTTTGTTTGTTTAGAGTCTCAAGGCAGTTCACTGTAGCCCAGTGAACTCGTGGTGGCTCTCCTGCCTCAGCTTTCTCAGTGCAAAGATGGAAGGTCTTACTGGGTGGGAAAACAGTGTTGAAGCATGCGTTAGCTTTAATACCCTGGAGAGTTCCTAGTGAGACTTCTTGTCCCTTTCTGTGTGAGCTGTCGTCTACAGCTTATACCAGGCAGGAGTGAGAGCATGGCTTGGTGGCCGCTGGGCCGAGCAGTTATTGTCAGACTTGGAATTCATTCCCAGTAGCTGCAGTCAAAAGCTCTCAGGCAAGTAAGGAGAAGAGGAGGCGATCTCTGTCTAAAGGCAGGAGAAGTGGCTTGTTTCACTCGAGGACCATGGCTGAGCCGCCAGGTCACAGGAGGAATAAGAGTAACTGATTATGCAGAAGGCAGCCTGGTGGAGATGAGAGGGCAGAGGTGGCAGTAGTGCCTCTGACAGCCCTGCCTCCCTCCTGATTGTCAGGAGAGGAAGATGCCTACCGGAGAGTAGGCAGCCATTATCTCTCTACAAAGGGATTAGTGTGGGTTGTGAGAAATTAACGGCTTTTTAGTTAACACAGAAATAGTAATTAATTAACATTAGGACCAGAGATGTAAAGCAGCTAAAACAGGCCTTTCTCCACCTCCTTTCTCTCCTTTCTTCTGTTGGTTTGCTATTTTAAAACGAGAGCTAGCTAGACCTTCCTTCCTCCCTCTCCTCCTTCCTTCTTTTCTTTCTTTACCCCCTTTTCAAGTGTGACCTATCTTCAGGGAATGACTCAGTTTGTGGCTGTCTGTAGGATGTGTCAGCAGAGAGATTGAGAAACCACTTAGACATTAAAGTTTTTACCATTCTCGTGCATGGATAGTCTGTCATGGGAGACCAAGGTCTCAGGAGATTAGGCATGGTCGTCCTTACCTGTAGTGTAAACACCCAGGAAGCTTGAGTTTGAGGTCAGCCTTGGCAACAAAATGAAAGCATGTCTCAAGAAACAAATTCTCAGGAGTGTCTCTACTGCAGTCCCTCTCATCCGCGAACTGCATGGCATTCGGTGTCAGCTTTCATGGCCTAAGGATGCTGTGTCTAGACAAACGTGCAGGAGAGAGAAAGGGAGGAGAGAGGCTGGGAACGGAGTTAGCCCTCCCGTGTGTCAGATATACTTTTCTCTTTTGTTTTTCAGTTTCAGTTATTTGAGACAAATACATGCTTTGTAGTACAGGCTTGCATGGTGGTCAGTGTGTAGCAGGCTAGCTTCGAACTCACGATCTCTGTGATCCTCCTATCTCAGTTTTCCCAGTGCTAAGATCACAAGTGTATACCTGTACCCATCTAACAAATTATACTAAGGACCCCTTCCTGTATTGATAAAGCATTGTCCTGTGTGCTGTGCTGTAGAAAAGAAAGCTTACTCCATTAGTGAAGATAGACTTTAAAAACCAAATAAAGCATTGTTTGTCTGGACATTAAGTAACTTACAACAATAAAGTCTGATCGAAGCCTGTGTTAGAGGATTACTACTTGATGCTGGCCCAGGGACAGATGTCTACAGATGCGATGGGGGAAGGCAAGAGAGAAGTCAGGAGCAAAGTTCAGTGTGTGCTCGCTGACTACAGATGTGGGGTGCAACAGAATAAGCAGAGTCCGACTCAGAGAGAAAACTGCCACCTGAGGTGAGACCTCAAAGGTGTTGTAGTGGACCCCAGGGTAGAGGTGATGCTGTCTAGACGGTCCAGGTCTGATCAGCTCACAGTTCACACACTCTGTTCTCTTTCTCTGGCTTCAGAAGCCTAGGAAAGGAGAAGAGTCAGAACAGGGAGTTAACTTGTGTGACAAGAGTTCTCCCTTGTGTGTTGGAACTCTGCAGACTTCACCTAGAAAAGGGAGGAACCTGGCCAGTGTGATTAGACGCACAAGGCACCTGTTGTGGTCAGTGTTCCCAGCATCTGTTTGCACACATGGGCAGTGCACACTCTGCGTCCTCGTGCACGCGCTCATCACCTAGGGTGAGAAGTTTCCCCAGGTACATCTTGTCAGTCAGTTACCACCCTGAAGTTTTAGTATTTCTGCTTCGCTGAATCGGAATCAGAAAGATGTCAGCCCCCAATGTGGTTGGTTTCATGTACCTGCCTTCTCATAGTTATTACTTTAGCTTTTCTTTTCCTCTTTCTAGAACACAAGCAGACATTCCCAAACATCCTGAAGAAGGGTTATCTGGAGATCAGAAAGAACCATGATAGTTACTGGCAAAGCTGCTACGCTGAACTCTCACCCTACAGCCTGCACGTGTACAGCCTCGACAGCAGTGGGGCTCAGAGCCTGCATGCCACGTACCCGCTCTCCCACTTCCAGAGCGTTTCTGTTCTAGGCAATCTCGAGGCCAGGATGGTGGACACCGTTCTCTATGACAATTCTCAGCTGCAGCTAAAGGCAGAATCCCCGTGGGAGGCCCTGGACTGGGGGCAGAAGCTCTGGGAAGCTGTGCATGCTGCTGTGCCCAGTTATATGGGCCGACAGGATGACCTGGCAAACTCACCAGGACTTGGTCATCATGTTGACTGTACACAGAACCACTGTTTACAGAAGAAATCCAGTGGGCTTCTGTCCTCCCCTGTCTTGGATAGCCCCAAACAGTACCAAAACATCCTCAAATCAGGGACACTCTACAGATTGACGGTCCAGAATAACTGGAAGGCATTTACATTTGTGCTGAGCAAGGCCTATCTTATGGCCTTTCATCCTGGCAAGCTGGACGAAGATCCCCTGTTGAGCTACAATGTGGATGTGTGTCTGGCTGTGCAGATAGACAACCTGGATGGTTGTGACTCTTGCTTTCAAGTCATTTTCCCCCAAGATGTCCTCCGCCTCCGGGCTGAGACCCGGCAGAGGGCACAGGAATGGATGGAGGCTCTGAAGACAGCGGCCAACGCAGCCAGGAGTTCTGAGCAAAACCTGCAGGTCACTCTGAGGAACAAAGCCAAGGATCAAATAGGTGGCCATGAGCAGCGGAAGAACAAACGGCAGTCCGTGACCACCAGCTTCCTGAGCATCCTGACCACTCTGTCTCTGGAGCGAGGACTCACTGCTCAGAGTTTCAAATGTGCAGGTATGGAGTGCGTATCCAGCCGCAAGCTCATGCCTGAGCATCCCCGAGTTCTGCAATGGGAATTCATTTTTAAACCTCAGGTGACAGTCACAGATGATTGTTAAAATCATGTTTATAAAAAATATCTCTCCTCCAAGAAGTATACATCATTAAAAATTTGATGGATTCCAGGCCAACTAGGGCTACAGAATGAGACGAGACCCTGTCCAAAAAAAAAAAAAAAAAAAAGAAAGAAAAAAATTCTAAGCGCCCACAGGAGGCTAAGTTGGGGTTGCCTTGAGTTGAAAGCTAGCATGGGCTACAGATCAAGTGTCTGTCAGGGCTGCAGTGTTACAGTGTGAGACCTTGTCTCAGAAATAGCCCAAACCAAACCAAAGCAAACCTATCCATCCTAAATTCTCATTGGTAAAGGAAATAGAAGCCATGATGTATGTCAGTGAATCAAAACGGCTTGGCCAAAGCCTGACCAGACTGGAATTTAGGCTTCCTGAGTCAGCCATGATCCCATTTCCTCTGCCTTATTGAATAATCGTCATTGTGGTTGTGTATGTCACAGATTGTTTCATGACGGAATTTTAAGTCCTAGTGGCTACTGGAGCTCTTTAGGCAAGGCAAATGTTCTGTAGTTTACAGACCTTCATTTCCAGTACTAAACTGGAAGGGATAGTGGTTTTCTGCCTAGGGTTGGAAATTATTCTGTGTGTCCTGTAGGGGGCAGAGTCTCAAAAGAAAAAGAAAAACAAATAAAAAACTAAATAAACAAATCTGAGTGGTTTTTAAAATTACTCAGAGGCAGTTTGTTAGATTGCTGTAGCAGATGAACCTTAGCACTGTTAATTTAAATCACCTGCTCTGCTTTTTGTAATGTTGCCATCCTCCTTACGACAAGAGACTCAGTGGAAAAGCAGCGGCATAGCGCGTTTGCCTTCCCTCCTGCCAGTCCGCACCTTGGGCTTTGTGTATTTTGGGGAAGCAAATTTACAGAACTTCATGGCTTTAATGTATCTCTAGTGTAGATTGTTAAGTTTTCAATGTCTTCTTAGTCCCTCCCCCTTTAAATATTCTGAACAAACAAGTGTTAAATAGCAGGGTGCCCTGAGTAGACTCTTCACTCTGATGTCATTTGATTACTAGCGATTCAGAGGAGCCACAATACTGACATTTACGTATGTAAAACAGGATAGTTGTCCCATTTCACTAAATTCTTTCTCTAAGTGAAGAAATCTCTAGATCCTTTAAAATGTTTTTAGAGAGTCCCTATGGAGAAAATGGAGCATGGCATCCCAGGACACCTGAGGTTAGTTTTGAAGCTGTATGCTGGTCCATAGTGGCATATTCCTTGCCTTGTGCTTAGACTTAGGATAGTTAGATTTCGTTTTGTTTGATAGCTGCACCACTTCCTCCTCGTCAGTCCCACGGCTGCTTAGGAGGCCCTTGCGGCAGAAACTTATCCGTGTTTGTGCCTGCCTCCCGGGGACCCCTGAGCTTGCCAGTTCTACTTCCTACCGTCTGAAAACCGTTCCTGAGCGCATTTGATCATTTGCTGCTTGCCTGGTACTTGTGGGCCTGGGGTCAGTGCTCAAAAAATATGGATACAGTAATCACATCGGTGTCTGCCAGACAGTAGCCATGACAAGATTCACAGGCCTTCAGTGGTGGTGCCAGGTCTCTCATATTTCTGGCCTGTAAGTAAGGCACTCAATAGGCTGAATCTCATGTTGGACCATGACATCACAGAGCGTTCTTGAGCAGAGCAGCACGCGCTGGGCAAGGTGTGCAGAACTGCGATATTTGGGGTGCTTTAATATGGCCTCTGTTGAAGGCATCTGCAATAGAAAATGAGGTGTGCTTCTTTGAAATTATGGGCTGGAATTCAAAATTGTATTTGACAATGAGGAGTCTGTGACGTTAAAATATTAATTCTTAAAAGATGATTGTGCTGCTTATTAAAATATTTATGAAGAAGTGCATACCCATAAAAGGTTCTAAATCTGGTTATTCGTAACTGCTTTATAAAGTAGGCTATAAGACAGCATGCCTGTTTCCTTAGAGGTTTGACATGTGCATCTGCTTAATTGTGCTCAGCAGACGCATGGTTTTCTTGGTAGGAGCACACAACAGTAACTTTCCAGCACTTGAGACCTAGCAATTGAGTGCAAGAATTTGAAGAGCCTGGGACTTTATAATTGTGACTGAGGTGCAAAGCTCACCTTCAGGAGTGTTCCTTGTGGGACTGTTTTGTAATCTGGAGGTGGTTTGGGTGTCCCGCTCAGGGCAGTGCTCATGATGGAACTGAAGTGGAGTGTGGGAAGGGAAGAAGGTGGACCCAGGCCTCCACCGTTTTCCCGTTGTTTTTATGGTTTTGCTCCCTGGCTGCTGTTTAACCTCTGGGGACTGCTGTTGGTGATTGTGCATCTCTGGCATTAAGAGCTGTTACTTTCCTTTTTCTTCCCCTCCAGCCTTGGGGGGGGGGACTCACAGAGGGGGGAGGAGAGTTTTGCTGTGAATTCTTCAGCCATTTAGTGCAAATTCCTGTAATTACCGGCATTGTGTCTCCTCTGAATGGCACATAATACAGCAGAAGCCATTCCTAATTGAGACCTTACAGGAGGTACAAATCCCCTCTTTGTTCAGCCTGACAAATTAGTGCCAGAAAGTGGCAGGGTCCGAGTGGGAATCAAAGGCAAGAAACACAAAGATGGAACTTAAGGCTACAGTAATAACCCTCTCTGTCCTGAAGGGAAAAGAAGGTAATGACCAATGAAAAAATGAAGGGTTGTTTTTGTTGTTGTTGTTGTTATAAATTCCCTTGACATGACAGCACCTCGGGGCTGCTCTATTTATTTAGTAAAAGTGATTAAATAGTAATACAACAGGGCGGCCCATTGTTTCCCTAGGCGCCCCCATCTCACAGACCCCTGTTGCCTTGGCTAATTGATTGACAATGAACCACTGAAAAAGAGTTTGTTGTTAGGACCTGGGATGTGGGAGCATTCTTGCACCCTGGTGTGTCTCCACATGCATGTTTCATCTTGTGTGAACTGGACTGCATCCCCCATGTGTC